TTTAACTAAAGACTTAGGATATCAAGATACAAATTTTAAATCTTTTCATTATTATTTACTAGTACTTGAAATTACTGCATCAACAAAGCAACTTCCTTGTAAATATTCTGCTAAAAAAATTCCTTTATTAATTAATTGTGATTTATGTAATACTTTTTTAAAAAATCAATATGAAGCAGAAGTTTTAATTTATAAGCATAGATATCATATAATATATTATAATGCTATGGAAGAAAGATGTAAATATTGTTATGATTATTATAAAACTAGAATTAAGCAATATAAAGTCTTTTATAACTAGATTAGAAAAAGGAGCTAATATATTAACTAAAGATGATATAGATAGATAATAAAGATAATAAAAATAATAATAATAATAATAATAATAAAAGTAATAATAACAATGATAATAAAGTTGAAAATTTAAATTTAGTATTAAGTAAAAAAGATAAAATAGAACAAGAATTTATAGATAAATTAATTGATGTTTTAAATTAGTAATTTATATTATTATAAATATATATATTTTTTAGTATTAAAGTGATCTCATTGGCCTGTAAACTTTTTATTAGAGTATAGATGATGTTTTATAATATAATTACAACAATAGTACATCAAGCCATATGTGCACTTTTGGTGCCTAATTTAAGTGGTTCGCCCAAAATGTTAGTGCTATACTAAGGGTTCCACACTATTTGCCGTATCTGCACCCAACTATGGAGGTATCTATTTAAACTATCTGGTTCTAATTACTATCATCAGCTCTCTAACCCATAGATATTACTCACTATTCATATGTAGATTTTGCTTTTACCCAATTTGAATTTTGCACTCTACCTTAGGACTTACTAACTTAAGCTAGTCTATTCTTGAGGTAAATCTAACAGAGCGGTACACATTCTACACGTGTATTCACCTGCATGTTTCTATAACTTCTTTCTAATTAGTACATATTGATTTGCCATTCCATATACATATCTTATGCCACCTTTTGGGATGCTGCCATTCTACAGATGTTTCTCAAGCATCAACCTTCTAATCAGATACCTATTACATACTCACTGCCCTTATTTGGTTCACAACAACTTCAATACCCACATTTGGACCATCTTCTTATCTGGATTCTTTATCGGTCTCTCCTTTACTTCTAGCCAGCAACTCAGAAAGGTTGGTCTGCCCAGGCTTTAGATGCCTGAAGGATGCTCTCTCCTTAGTTCATACTTTTAGAGCGTATGTCCTTTTTCTCTAGTGCAACAACCTAGTAGTTCGGCTAGTGTGTTCTCTGCTAGCAGACCTGGTTGCTTGGTTCTTCAATCTTGGGCCCTAGTTCGAATTCAGCCCTCCTATAGTACTATTGAAGATCACTACTACCTCCAAATTCGGAACTTGCTAAATGGGTTTTTGGTTATGCTAGTTCCTCGGATTTATTGCGCCAAAGCCTCTATTACTAGATGGTATAACCAAATTTACAGATTTAGTTATAGATCCAACTGATAAGCATAGCTATCAACTGAACACAAACCTATTTTTTAAATATTGTCACCAGTGGGATTTGAACTTTAGACTTGCTACTTGGAGAGGGTAATGACTAAACCACTACACTAAGTCGCTACACCTTATTATTATAAATATATATATATTTGTTAATTTATAAATTATTATTAAATATAACAAAATTACTATTTATTGCCAGTGGTGATCATCACTAGTCCTAAGATTTGTTAGGGTTAGGATTAGAAATTAAAGAATTATTGTTTTTTTATATAATATATTATAAAGCTATAAGGGCCCGATAGAGCTCGATCTTAGTTTTTATAAAGTTTTTGGGATCCTAAATATTTTTATTTAGAAGACCTGATCTCATTTACTTAGTACGGTTTTGAGATATAGCAATACTGGTAATGATCACTAGTGGCGATAAATAGCAAACTCATTATATTTAAATATAAATATAAAAAAATATTTATTTTTAAGATTTTTCTAAGCATCTCTGGCCAGAGATATATAACATATATATCTCTGGCTTATTAGCTAATTAAAATGAATAAAGGTCACGTGACCTATTTTTTCTAATCTTCGGCGAATCAGAAAAATTTGTGCAACCCGAAATCCGACCTAACTTTCTGAACATGAAAAATCGGCCAATCAAATTCAATAATACAAA